TTTTAAGTGGGAGAACTTGCACAATTGGTGGCTGACTAAATACTTTTTTGCCCCACTGTACTTTTTCCCCTTAATCTTCTTTTAATTTTGTATACTTTTATTGTACTGAAAAATTCTAACAAAAAAAGAAAGGGTGCTGTACTTGTTTGTGCTCATAGTTTCCCACTCAGCTAAGCCAATTTGGTGAAAGCTACTCTGTTAGACATAGCATTCAAGCAAATTAAACTGCTCTCTATTTATCTTAACAGGAATTAATGCTTGTATTCACAACAGCGTTTTTTAAAAACGTTGCATAATTGCTCAACTTTCACTTACCTGGAGGCGGAAGGTCAAATTTCATTTTACGCAGTTCTGCCATAGATGCTTGTAACTGCTCAATTACCGTATCATCTTCAAACTGCAAAGAAGCAGCAATTTTTTCTTGCAGAAATTCCCGCAGATCTTCAAGGGTCATTTTCAACAAGCGTTCTAAGCAGGTAACAGAAACATCAGCTCAGTAAAGATGCTGTCATTATCCTGATACGGTTTCTACTGAATTACATATCCAGTGCAATGAATGAAAGATGTTATTTAAATGAAGCAGGGTTAATTTACGCTTTTTTGTTTATACACTCATTTCCTGCATTTGCTTTCAAACTGATATCTTCACATTCATCCTGGCAAGAATGTATAGATGTGTGACTTCATGACTGTGGTGTTTATATTAAGCAAATCCTCTTACATGAATGAATAAAGCAGTTCCCAGTGTACTGACATTTGCAGTTATATACTGGATTATTCTGATGTTATACCACTAGGGGAAGTAAAGCAACATTCTACAATTTGATGCAATCTGCAGCTGAAGTTCAGCTACTTGCAGTACAATTTGGGCCATCTTCATGATTTAAAGAATACTAATTTGCATTAAAAAAAATGCCCAACTCATCTTGATTTAGATTTCTTATCTCAGGACCATTCTGTATGTGCTGATCTGTTACGTTTTACAAATGAAATTGAGATCTGGGATGCATACTTTTGCTATAACACAGTCACAGTAAGACTACATACAAACACGGATTAAATTTTATTTCACAAGGTCCACATATCCTCAGGCTAATGGCCTATTCTCACTTCTGGAATTTTCTAAGCTATCTTTACAAGAGCACAGGCTGGATTCTGGTCTGTTATATGCAACTTTCTGAGGGCAGGGATCACACATTTTTACAAAAGGTAGCTGAGGCTACAGTGAATGAGGGTTTTGCACAAGTGGGCAGGGTTTATCTTTCTGGGTCTGGGGGTTCTTTGTTTTCTTGAGAGGGTATTTTTTCTTTTCTGCTCAATACTGGCATAAAACCATGTCTCTGTCTCAAGAAGTTTTCAAGTTGCAATAAAACATTTTGAGAGGGGGAGGTGATCGGACTTGCAGTGCCAGCAGAGGTTTGCCCATCCCTTCGGTACAGAATGCCGCCAATCTAAACTTCAAAATGTAAACTGCAAATGTTGAAGATGCCGTGAGACTCATCTTTCTGTTTTGTAATATCAGGTTAAGATGGCTTCTCCGTCTGGAATTTGTCAGAAAGACATTTCTATCATACTTCTATTCTCTTCGACTCCCAAAGCCCACCCAACAAACAAGCAAGCAAAGAGAGGCACCTTTAAGCTAAACCTCTCTTTTATAACTCCTCTCGGGAAGATGTTGTTTTCCATACAAACTTGCTTCTGACCCACAGGAATATTACGAACGCTAAACTTACTGCAGACTCTTCTGTGATGTTCTTTTTCTGTGTACTGTACTCGGTTGCAGAGACCATCTGGTAACCTTTATTGACTGTCTAGACCAGTGTTTCTCAACCTTGGCAGCTTGGAGATGTGTGGACTTCAACTAGAATTCCCCAGCCAACCAGAAGTCCACACATCTTCAAGTTGCCAAGGTTGAGAAACACTGGTCTAGACTAAGCTGGATTCCAAATTCCAGTTCATTCAGATGGTTCCAACATGGAGGCAGGGGCATGACAGCTTCTGCCACTGTATAACAGACTGATTTGCAAGGACATTCACAGGCACCACTCATAGGAACAGCCACATTAAATGACAGCAATCATTTGTTATACGTATCTAAAGCCCGCATATCCAATCAGTAAAGAATCTGAACATTTTTAAAAACTGCAGTTAAGAAATCCTGAGGGAAACAGGAATACACTAACTATCCCCAGAACAATTCCAGCTTTGTTGAAGATCTACTGGAACAGGAAGAACTGCACATGATTAGGTTTCAATTGTCATGCGAGCAAACAAAATGCCAAATAAAGCCTGAAATACACCTTTCTGTATTTGGGACAACGAAAGCACAGCTTTCCAAGCCTTTGCAGCAACCTTGCCTTTAAAATGCGCTTCTCCTTCTATAAATGGCTGTATTGAGTTTTTTTTAAAACACTGAATAATCAAACCAACTTCTTACTTTTATGCAATTTGAGGATGGTGTATGCCATAGCTGTTAGAACCCGCTCTCCTTCCAGGATGTAAATATCCCACAGCCGCAGGGTTAGCGTAAACGGAGTCTGTGTGAAATGTTAAAGAAATTAGATACGACATATTGGCATGCAAACCACAACGTATAGGTAGAGTAGCAGGTGTCATCAAAATAAACACGTTTTCAAACCAAACTCAAGACCCAGGCTCAAGTTCATTTTGTGATATATTTTTATAAAATTCAACACACGAAGGTGGATAGAAGTAGTCTCTATTTGGAGTTTATAATCTTAAAAATCAAATCGAACCAATCTGGAATCCCATATATCATGGAACTGTTTGTTTATCAGTCAGATCTTAATTTAGACTACATTTAATAATAAAGTAAAGGATTAATTTTACATTAATATTATATGGATTCTTCTTTCTTTTTTCCTTAGTTTCTTTCTCCCTCTTATGTTTAGCTTAATCACTGTAACATATGTAGTTTGTTATTGTACTATCACTGATGCATTATTTTTAATTGTTTCTTATATTTTACCAATAAAATAAAAACATTTAAAACATAAGATTATCATTCTACATTGAATGAAAATAGTTACAAGCATAAGACACAATATATATGGTATTAGTACTGTAATGACATTGGAGTAAGCATCTGAAGTCCTTGCTTCCTCAACCCCATACCCGGTCAATGAAGCACTGCAAGAACCACTTAGTTGTATAAATTCCTGTCAACATCTGTTCCTTATCCTAAAAGAAGAAAGAGAAAATCCAAATTAAAAAAAAAAAAACTTATTTCATAAGACAAGCAAGCTAGAGATTTATGAACAGCAATTCAAACACTTGTAGGCTCTCAAGATCATTTCCTCATAGATATTTGTGTTTTTCTTTCCTAAATTAAGGTAGTTACTATGTAAGAAGCAGTATTTTATTTCACTGGTTACTTATTCTAACTCTCTTCTATATCTGTTTTCTCAGTGGATAACTAATATATTTCCCTTTCCCTCTTTTATTCAATGCAATTGTTGTGAGCATATTATTCATTTTTTTGTTCCTTTAAGGAGGTTCCTTTAAGATTTTTTTTTAATTGTAGCAGAGTATATATTCCAATCTCCTTTGTCACTGAATGTTTTGCATGTATTACCTAAAGTTAAAAACGGCATTGTTTTCTTTTTCTATTATTATGGTTGGTCACACAGCCATCCAGATGTTTAGACTGGATTTGGCATTTTTATCCACCTATCGAGTCCTTCCCAAGGGCCTGGGATAGGCAGATGTTGTCTAATAATATTAAAGGCATCCTTGCAGGATGTGAGCTGTTCCAAGTAAAGCTGCCTTTTGCAATTGACTGATGGTAACTTTGTCAATGCCAATGGTTTTCAAGTGGTGCTCCAGATGTTTTCGGATTGCACCCAAGGCACCTATTACTATTGGTACTATCTTTGCCTTCTTTTGCCACAGTTGTTCTACTTCTATTTGCAGGTCTTTGTATTTTGTGATTTTCTCCA